GTTAACTAATAGTCCCTGCTGCTTCCCTCACTTTCCTAGCTATTTTTACTGTGTTAAATAGCTGCTCTTATTTCTGCCTCTTTGCTAGATAACTAAGTTAGCTGTTTTCAATAGTTCTGTAGCTTCCCTATTATTTCTAATTAAGTTAGCTGTTTTCAATAGCTCTAGCTTCCCTATTATTTCTAATTAAGTTAGCTGTTTTCAATAGCTCTAGCTTCCCTATTATTTCTAATTAAGTTAGCTGTTATAAAGAGTTGTTCTTATTTCTTCTTTCCACCAATGTTATATAGCTACAATAACTATCTCAAAATGTCGTGTTACTTCCCACCTTTCCTAGTTACCTAATTCAGTTAAATGTTTTATTCAGCTTTATTACATTGTTTAGCTAATTTAAGCGTTTTGAATAGCTGCTGCTACTTCTCCACCCCAGCTATGTAACTAAGTTAACTGTTTTAAATAACCCCTGATTGTTCTATATTTGTCATAGCTTTGTCAGATCATATATGTTCTTTTCTTTTCACTTTTAAGAAGGTGGCTGATTTTAGTACAGTTGTTGATTCTCATCGTTACTAGCTATGACTGTTGATTGTTGATTGTTTTAGTGGATCTGCTGCAGATTTTCACCGTGATCAGATTTGTCTGTCTATTTTTACATCCTACACTTCCTAAGTAATTTAACTGTTTAGTAAAGCTACTACTGATTTTCATCGTGATCAGATTTGTCTGTGTATTTTTACATCCTACACTTCCTAAGTAATTTAACTGTTTAGTAAAGCTACTACTGATTTTCATCGTGATCAGATTTGTCTGTGTATTTTTAGTTCCTACTCTTCCTAGGCAAGTTAACTGTTTAGTAAAGCTACTACTGATTTTCATCGTGATCAGATTTGTCTGTGTATTTTTAGTTCCTACTCTTCCTAGGCAAGTTAACTGTTTAGTAAAGCTACTACTGATTTTCATCGTGATTAGATTTGTCTGTGTATTTTTAGTTCCTACTCTTCCTAGGCAAGTTAACTGTTTAGTACGGCTGCTACTGAATCACTCATATTGCTCAATTAGCGCAGCTATTACTATTCGTTCATTTGTGCTTTTATCAGACATTTTGAATTCTTGTGTCCATATTCACATGAGCACATAAACTATTTAACAAAGATAACCTAACAAATATTGAAAATACGGTTTCCGGAATTTAAACACAAGCTTATCGTAAGTTTTGTTCACATTTTTTGGATCTTAAAGGACTATTACAGATACTGCGATGCTCCAGGTTTATTATTACTTTCTTATCAGCTCGATTCCAGTAAACAAAATTCAATGGCATATCTAAAGGTTTCCATTAGCGATAAAAGTATAAAAATATGTCATATTTTATATTTCTATCAACGTGATGGTTTGGCTCAGCTAAGCGTTTACTAAACAATTCAACTCTATGTTCTATTTTGTAGCAGACTAAAGTATACATATTTCTTTAATCAACGTACGATGTGGAAAGTCAATAATTTCTGCAGAGACTATCTCTGTATTATCTTTGACACGTTGAGTAGATCGTCTTTTACTTCTAACGATGCAATGTTCAACTGTGGAGCAAGAAATCTTGCCCATCACGCTATCAGACTGGGGCCTAACTTCCGGTTAGCTCTCTCTCTATATCGAATGATGGCAAAGCCTCATCCACATTAACGTCAAGTCTTGGTTCGGCAACAAGCATATGTATGGTAGCTACCTGATTTTTCTTGCACGTATCTCACATGTTTCATTATGACAGTAATGCGATACATTATTTATCGTGTACGTCAAGTGATTCTTTCTTTCAAAAAAAAAATGTGTTTTTTCCGAATCGGAAGAATCTCAAATCGTCGAAAGACAATATTATTCGTTGTTGTCATATTGTAAATTATAATGTCTCACTGGAACAAAACTTCTACATTTTCAGGTTAAATAAAAATATCGTTTTACAAACACTGTCTCTGTTTTACTCAATTCTGTAATTATCGAGTTTCGCCAACTACCGACAGTTTCAAGTATTAATTATACAAAGTATATTATTATAATAAATTTCACTGAATAATAAGAAATGAACTAATAATTAGTTTTTATTTCCTTCTGAAGAAGGGTACCGTCTTAAAAGTCAGGCACATTTGTTAAAAAGAATAGCAACAACGACAACGACAAAAGATTTTAAAAAGTGAAACTTAAATAAAACCAACGTGAAATAGAACGAAATTCGAGAACTGAAATTGAAAAAGGGAATTTAGTATATTAAAATGATAAATAAAATCCGACAAACCAAATTAAAAAACAGGTTTTAAGAGATTGAAATAAAAAAATAATTCAAGAAATCAAATTTAAAATAAGTTTAATAAATATAAATAAAGAAAACAATTTTTAAAAAATATAAACAAAAACAAAATTCAAATTCGAGAAACCAAAATGAAACATGAACATATGGTTATGTTGTATAACAGTAAATATGCTTATGTTAGCAGTGTTTATAAGAAATCAAACTAATGAAACATGAACATATGGTTATGTTGTATAACAGTAAATATGTCTATGTAAGCAGTGTTTATAAGAAACCAAACTAATGAAACATGAACATATGGTTATGTTGTATAACAGTAAATATGTTTATGTAAGCAGTGTTAATAAGAAACCAAACTAATGAAACATGAATTTTAAGAAATGAACATATGGTTATGTTGTATAACAGTAAATATGTTTATGTAAGCAGTGTTAATAAGAAACCAAACTAATGAAACATGAATTTTAAGAAATGAACATATGGTTATGTTGTATAACAGTAAATATGTTTATGTAAGCAGTGTTAATAAGAAACCAAACTAATGAAACATGATCTTTAAGAAATAAACATATGATTATGTTGTATAACAGTAAATATGTTTATGTAAGCAGTGTTTATAAGAAAATAAACTATGCAACTGATTGTTAGAACTTGTGATGATAATGAAAACATTAATTTTGTGACCGAACGCTGAGTAAAGAATCATTAGCCTGCAGCGGAACCAAGCAGCTATTTCTCGATATTACGTTGCTTCATTTTATGATATTGATGCTAGTTTACCGTGGCGGTCTAGCTTTTACTTGTCAACAGAGTAGATTACATACAGAATAAAACGTTATATACATCATTAAAAACTCTTCATGATATATATGAATTTTCATTGGCAGTTTTTTTCACCAACCACTAGGGATTATATCCAATTTATTTTATACTTTCATTTTAGTCGCTGAGATGGAATCAAACGATTTATAACCTAATATTCCAATGGTTGATTATATTATTTAGAAGTGTAAGTTACTCAATAAGACAAAGCATGAAATAATAAAAGTTGCCTCTTGCGACTTTTATAGTAGATTTGGTGTTACCATCTCAGGAATGTAAAAATTCTGCAAAATCACTTATCACCATCGACTTCTGGTCAAGGTAAGGTACCAACACAGATCAGAACTAAAATGTAGACTATTGATGAATATAGATAAATTAATATACCATTGTAACTAGATGTACGAAAGTCACAAAACACAATTTAAAACTATTAGAAAACATTGATTCATCAGTTGGATCTTTTGGCTGTTGACAACATTCTTGGTCTTAATCCCAATAACATCAAATGTGGTTTGGTTAGCTTAGGATATTTAATTTAGTCATAAATCCATAGCTAAGCTAGCACTCTGAAATAATTCTCATAACAATAATAATGATATAAATATATATTAAAAATTAAATATAATAAACATTTTAACTGGTACTTATAATGAAATTGACATTGAAAGTAATAGAACATAATTTACTTACTTAAGTTCAGGAAAAGTTATGTAACAACTTGTACGTAGTACAAACGGCAACTTTGAAACCTCTTTAAACCAAATACTTCTTTTTCTATGAATTTACTTATAACTTCTCCATTTTTACTGTTCTTTAAATCGAAATATTTTATATACATATCAAATCTTAATTTTAAACTGAAATACACTAAAGCATCTAAATTACTTTAATCATTGCATTTGGCTATATTTTAAATTAGATTAGGACTTTAATGATAGAGCATTATTTATCTACGTAGGTGGCGTGTACTCGTTCTTGACAGACTGCCACCAATTTTTATACATATTGACTAGTATGATAAACACTTCTAAACACATTCCAACGATAAAACACGTAATTCAAAGCGCAATTAACGTAATATACAATAAGAGTTTGAGTCCGTGTAAGTTTGGTACATTACCACTGCGTTGCTTTATACTAACTTAATCACTAACTCAGACCCTCTCCCTTGACCTTTATACTTCAACAATATTAACCATAGTTTCCTTGATTCGTCCGTTTTCTACTCATTACAAAATTCCATGTCAAGACGATGTTCCACAGTTATTTACAAATTACAAACGAATAAGTTACTTTCAAAACGAATTATCAAAACAGCACATTCACATTGCCTAAATACTTTAGAACTTTATTCAGAGTAAATGATAGAGTTTGAAGTTTTCATTACATGTTACTCTCAGCCATTCGACTTGCCTTCAGCTTCGCAGGAAACAGCTCACGTTTCCAGTTAGCCGACATCTACATAACAAAATACCACTGTCCACTGAGTGATCTGGACCATCCAAGAAATCCTCAAAATCCTGTGTGATATTGTATTATAACTATCCCATATTCTGAATTTGTAGATTTCTGAGTAATATTGTGCTTAATGAATTGCCGATATACGCCAACAAGGCAATAAAATTGTAGTTTTCCAAATTTAAACCATGTTTTAATGCTTATTACACATATTATGACATATTTCAAACTATTTCACAAGTGCACCTATAACTTACTAGCTTTATGCATTTATAAATTACATCTCAAATTATTATGTTTTCTCGTTTACTTTCTCTCCTCTGTGAATATCTATCGACGTATTTTCTGTTTGTGTGTTGTGGCTCCTCATTCATGTTTTCCATTCAATATAGAGCCTTCATCCAGTCTAGCATCATTGCGCGTGCTCCTCCGTTCATGAACGTCGACGCTTGCAGAGTGCAGCGCAGTGCAGAGCAGAGCAGAGTATGCACGAGCCGAATCGTTTCAGAATTACACTAGCTGCCGATTTCACAGACATCTCGAGTTCTACTAGCAAGAAGAAGTCTAGAAATATTAGTATTTAAAGAAAGTCGAACCGATTTAATTTCTCTCACTGTAATTTAGAAATAGTGCTAGGTCATCCTCGAAAATAGTGCTAGGTAATTCTTTACCAAAGTAATAAAGATACACATCATTTGAAGAACAATGATGATGTATGCTCTCGGGTACTAGCTGTTTCATCAAACAGACTCCGAGATTTTCCAGAATCTTCAGAAAGATTTACCCTAATAGTTATTTATTATAGCATAAGCGCATAAAGGGCTAGAGAGCATAAATTACTTCAATACATCTGTCTTCCGATAAATGCTTATATTTGATTAATCTTCAGTAAAGTTTGTTTACTTAAATACAACAGACCAGAAGTTGCCTTTTCCGTTTATTATCGTCCAATGCTCATCAAGCAAAGCTCTGAGATACATTCAAGCGAACAAATCAAATTGCGTGGAATCTTTTCTTCCTTAAAGGCATTATCATAAAATAAAAAAAAAGAATTTGAACCTGCTTTTGCCTTAATTGCAACAATAACTCCGTTCTTACTACTGTCTTTAAGCCTGAAAACGGTCTTTCCCAGAATTCAACCTAGTGGACACCGATCTTGGAGCTGACTCCATCATTTCATCGTCATCTGGGTATACTGGAGAAGCGCTTTGCTAACTTGTTGTTAAACTGAGAAGAAGTGTTAAACTACAAGCGTTAAAGGACATTCACAACCATGCATTCTCGGAGAGCGGTAAGTGTCTTTGTTTAAAACAGTACTGTGTTCATAGCAATTTGTATTTTGTTATAAACTAGGTTTAACAATGTTCAAATAGAATAGACCTTTAAGAAATGTTTGTACATTCCTACTTATGTAAATAACTAAATATTAGAACAAAAGACTAGAGTCAGTACTCAACTGACTTTAATTGGACTGTTAGCTGGGTGTGAGAATAACAAATTGTACTAATTAAATATCTATCAGTGTTTTGTAACATGACTTTAATTGGACTGTTAGCTGGGTGTGAGAATAACAAATTGTACTAATTAAATATCTATCAGTGTTTTGTAACATGACTTCGATTGGACTGTTAGCTGGGTGTGAGATTATCAAATTGTACTAATTAAATATCTATCAGTGTTTTGTAACATGACTTCGATTGGACTGTTAGCTGGGTGTGAGATTATCAAATTTTAACTACATATTTATATATTTTTTGTAACACGACTTTGATGGACTATTTGATGTGATATTACCAACCCGGAGTAGAAATTAAAGAACTATTATTTCGAGATTTGGTTAGTACAGTTTACTACGTAGGAGAGTATTATCTTGTGATATAAATTAACTCATAATTATCTATTACCTTTTATGTTGTTAATATTTGCTCGTGAGATATCAGCATGAATGGAGTAGAGAGCTTTTACGATTGTTTGTTACTTCTTTTAGTTGGAATTTAGAGTATAAAGTTTGAGTTATTTCTGACATATTAGTAGCCCCTAGGCCGACTTAATTTTGTCTAATTTTTGGGAATGAGAATATAAGCTTTGGGGTAAATCTAGCAATATTTGCTAACTTAAAGTATTATTTAATATTTGCTGGTAAAATGATATTGTTTGTTTAGAGTTAAGCACAAAGCTACAAAATGGGCTATCTGTGCTCTGCCTATTACGGGTATCGAAACCCGGTTTCTAGCGTGGTAAATCCGCAGACATACTGCTAGGCGACAAGGGAGGTATAAAAGGATATCGCGATAGTTCAATAATTTTCGTGTAGTGAAAATGAATTAATTGGTGTTTTCTAACCGAATTTTGTTTTATTAACTAACTTTGAATAGCAGTGTTCATTGAATTGAATATTTTTTCATTATTAGTCTGCTATCCACCTAAAATAGTTATTTATTTTACATTCTGAAACCTGGCTTGATGACAACAGTTAGCCAGGTGTCTCAGAATCGTACATATATTTTTCACTCGAACAAAATCTTTGAAATTTGATTCAGCATTTACCAGCAACTGGATACGAGAGTACAGCCACAGAATTTCTTTTTCATTTCTAAAAATTCTTATCAGTCTGGGTTTTTGAAATTTATTGTTATTTTCGTTTTTTGAAACATGTTTCTAAGTTGGTTTCTCAAAGTTTGTTTTTATTTGTATAACAAACAGTTTGGGGAGTCTAATTTTGTTTCTTATTTTTAGTTCTTAAAACCTGTTTTCCAATTTGGTTTATGGGAATGAGAACACCATCTGTGAGAGTGATGGAAACATCGTGAACCAACATGGTATACCTTAAGTCATGTTCGTACCACCATGGTATACCTTAAGTCATGTTCGTATCACCATGGTATACCTTAAGTCATGTTCGTATCACCATGGTATACCTTAAGTCATGTTCGTATCACCATGGTATACCTTAAGTCATGTTCGTACCACCATGGTATACCTTAAGTCATGTTCGTATCACCATGGTATACCTTAAGCCATGTTCGTATCACCATGGTATACCTTAAGTCATGTTCGTATCACCATGGTATACCTTAAGTCATGTTCGTACCACCATGGTATACCTTAAGTCATGTTCGTATCACCATGGTATACCTTAAGTCATGTTCGTATCACCATGGTATACCTTCAATCACTCAGTATTTACATTATATTTTTACATAACAGTATCGTTAACCCAATACGAAATAAAGCTATCGTTATACATATTTATTAGTGATGTCTATCCGTTTACCGACTGTATACACACATATATATATATATAAATTGTACAACATTCAGTAATATGATGCGTGTATATGTTACAGTACAACAACAAAGCAAAACTACTTAAAATTTTATTTTATTTTTCTCTATAGAGCTGTACATTATTTTGCAAATCTTCAATTTCCATGACAACCAATACCACAGTTCCTTGGTGCTAAGGCTCTTATCAGAGTTGATATCTTATTAGTGTTTGTTCTTTATCACTTCATGGACACGTTCTTAGTAAAAGTAATTTTTTGTTAGATCTATAACGGTGAAAGCTGATAAATATTTGCCACAACCACACCAATAACTTAAAACTTTTGACGTGAAATACTGACGGGCTGCTTACGAAAATAAATAGGAACCGACAAATTAACAAACACGCACAGTCATATATACATTAATGTCCAAAGATTAAGGAATAGACTGTTGAGCATTAACGATTTGTTCTTTAACTCTCGGACAACAGTGTTTATATACGCGTTATATTTTGACAGTTTTGTATAGCGCTTTTAAGCTATTTTTTCTGTGAACTTATCACAGATATTTATCGATCAATATATCAGTAAAAGCCATATTTCATTCTATCGTGCTTTTCTATCCTGTTATTGAACTAACAAACGCTACAACCATTGCTTATGAAATTTCCTGTGTAATCTGTGCTTAAGACAGTATTGAAAAAATTTCGGAATAATCTAAATAAATTCGTCTGTTCAGACTCTATTAAAGGCTGGAAGCACAAAACAATGAACAGTAAATCTCAACAGAGATTTTTACAGCATCAATCAAAAAATCTTATATTGAGTTACTCGTAAGGGATTACATAAGTAAAAAATCGACACTATCGACACTAAAATACTCTTATATATTTTAGATTTACATATGTTTGTATACATGTCAACGGAAGTAGTGAAGAACGTATTCAGGAAATTCAATATGATGAACGACTGTAAGAATTTACATTTTATATATAATGACTAGATTTCGTATTTAGACCTAATATTTACCTTTTGATGATTGGGAAAATAACTTTGTTCTTATGTTAATCGAAACCGAAAAAGAACAATAAGCAAATGAAAGAGAAAGGAAGAGACAAAATAAAGGGTAAAAATGTATGACAAAATAATTGTAAAATACTACTATCCACATTACCTAGGTTCGTGTAGTGTGATTATACTACTATCC